TCAACCAATCATAAGTCCATATCAAAAAAAGCTAACCATAAGAAACCTACCTGCATTATCTGGGCCAAAACTGTACAGCTAAAACTGGATCTATTTCAAAGTAGCAACAAATCTTAAAGTTTATGAATAATGCTTGGATTTCATATTGAGGAAACTCAGTTAAGAAAGGCACTAATTATCCTAAGTATTGGAGTTAGGCTGGGTCAAGACAGACCATAATTTTAAAGAAAATTCTGAAAGTTTTCTCAAGCCAGTTCTACGGGACAAAGCATGCAAACCCCTGAGAAACATGCCAGCATCTGCCCTCAATTCCAGAAGCAGGAAGCAAAGATGTGACCCAATCACATGATAATAAAGCACAGTCCATCTGTTCAGAGAACTTGCATTATGTAAGCCACGACCGAGAAAGAACAGCAAAAGGCAGGCAGTTTGTTATGTGCAGAGGGCTCTGTGGTTTGAAGAGACATGTTCTCACATTTCAAAAGGGCCATCCATAAAATAATGGCATTTTCAAAGCCCGGGTCATTAGAAATGAACATATTTGATGCACTACAAAGGTGCTACCAGAATGGTGCTGAGTTCAGATTAACTGTTTCAACAGGCCTAGAAGAACCTTTCAGCAAAGGTCTTCTCCACATAAGCAGCCCTCCCCAGAAGAACAGATTTATCTCCCTCTTGATTACTTTGATCATGTCAGTTCCCTATTTAATTTCAACAACTAAGGAGAGCATCTAAAATTCTAAACCTAGACCATGTAACTGCAAGGCCTTTCAATTACATCCATTTTAATTAAACCCCAAACAGTTTCACCATCTTTTAAACTACTAAAGCCTACTCTTCTCAGTCAATAAGCTCTACACCCGGGCTTTTTATCAACAATATAAAAACGATATTGACCTTCTCTTGAGGACCTTTTAACCACCACCACCACCTCTCCCCGTCCACAGCCCATCAGAAGTCACTTTTCATAAGTTCTGTGAAATTCAAGATAACTTCACTTAGGTAAGTCACTCCATTAACCCTGCCCTCCCCCCCTCCAAGTCCTTCATACTCTTTAAAGCACAGATTTGGAATGAGATAATCTAAATTCTTGTCTTAGTTCTGCCTGACCCTGAGAAATTCACCTAACCTCTGATGTCATTTTTTTCCCTTGTAAACTGAAGTGACTTAGAACTTTCACCAATCGAATGCCTACCCCTGGTGGGCAGCCCATAATATTATCTTCCCTTATTCATCCCACTTAGATCACCTTTTTATTTTGTTTCCAGTCACATATTACAGAGTTTTCAGAATTGGGGGAAAGAAATAGTGGGGAATACATCCAATCCAAACTCCACAGTATAGAATAATGAACTTAACTCTAAAGAGGAACTTGCCATCCAGTCAATAGAAGTTTTGGTTCTGCCCTGGAGTAGGCCCCAGGACAGCCTTACCACTCATCAAATCCCCCCTCTGCCTATTTAAATTTGAGCTACCCTTCAAAGTCAGCATAAGCCCTAAAGTGTCCAGAAAGCCTCCCCCAATCACATGAGCCTGCATTAATCATGTCCCTCTTTGCATGCTGATGCCTCTCTGTAGGAGTGATATTAAAATATCTAACAACTGGCTCCACAATGGTACCAACCGATCAGAAAGGATATCTGATCAATCAAAACACACGTGGTCCAGTGGAAATTGCTGGAGGAACATCAGTCCTACCTATTACTATCAATACAAAATAGCAACCTCAAACTCCAATACAACTTTCTCATTTGGTCTTCAAGATCTCAAGAATTAGGAAAAGTAGGTACCATCTACATTTTCTACATTACTAGAGGTGAAGTCGGGACTAATAATCAAACCTAATAACCAACTGCTTTTTTCATCACATTAACAATTTTCCCATATTATATACACAGAATTGTCAATTAATATTGCATAAACTGTACTTATATAAAACAGTATAAACATTAAAGGAATGCTCAAATGGAATTCATTTAATCAACAAGCACGTAAGTTGAACAGAATATAAAACACAGTGCTGGGTTGAGAGCATAAAGGAAAGAAAAGACATACCTTTGCCCTCTGAGGACCTATAACACATTCAAACGTATAGATAAATGACAGTGCAAGATGGTAGAAATAAACAACACAAACTGTAACCCTAAGTGCTATACGGTTCGGGGGGAAAAAGGAATTTAGGAACTAAACCAGTACATGAAGCCAGAACTGAGAACTTCTCTCCTCATACTCCCAAAAGGGGCAAAATTAAGTATGTAGTTAAAAGGCTAAAAAAATCAGGAGTCAGTGGAAAAACAGAAATTGCTGGAATTGAGGGTTTACAGTAGCAGCAAGAAGTGAGATCTTTGGCTGAATACTAGAGATGGCTCTAATCATAAGCCTCAAGTGCTGCTCTAAGTGCTGAATAGAAATGGAAAATCTTGTAAACCCTTTGTGAGGGTGGCTGAGGAAGATTAGCTTGGCAGTAGCCTATAGAAAAGTCTAGATGAGAAAAACTGGAAAGCAACTAGATTCAAGGGATAACAGGCAGGACTAAACTAATGGCTGCATACAAAGAAAGGAAGAGACATTCAAGAGGCACTGATATAAAGAAGAGCTGGGTTCTAGGCATGTTTTCAAATAAAAAACTTACATGATGGCAGAAAGTAAACTGGATTCTCACATGGGATATATATGTAGACATACTGGTATGGTACCGTACAAATCTGTGTACTAGGGACAGGGAACCAATTTCCCTAGAGAAATCAACGTTAGAAAGAGGAGAAGCGGGGCGCCTGGGTGGCTCAGTCGTTAGGCGTCTGCCTTCAGCTCAGGTCCTGATCCCAGGGTCCTGGGATCGAGCCCCGCATCGGGCTCCCTGCTCGGCGGGAGGCCTGCTTCTCCCTCTCCCACTCCCCCTGCTTGTGTTCCTGCTCTCGCTGTCTCTCTCTCTGTCAAATAAATAAATACAATCTTTAAAAAAAAAAAGAAAGAGGAGAAGCTGGGCAGAGAAATACAAAACTGATACCCAGACAATAAGGAACAACTGCAAGGTCTTAAAAAGGAAGCCAAATTATAAATTTAAAAGTGCATGTGAGCTTCTTCAGAATGTATGAAAGATCAACATCAACATAACAAACAAGCGTGGGCAGACCAGTTGAGGCAGTCTAGACTTAAGAATAATAGCACCTGGATCAGCTGTGTATTGTATGCATGCCAGTGTAGTCTGTAAACTCCTCCCCAGCATGGACTGAGCAATGTTCCATACATCAGGTTAAGTCTAATACTGTTACTTGAATACATGAACACTTAGTGTGACTGGCTATGTGGAAAAGAGTGAACTATGCCATTAGAGTTAGGAGTGGTGTAGAAATGTTACTTTTGCTTGATACATAACTATCGATTCTCTCACCTGTCCACATATTTACTTTGCCCGCATGCCTTAGGCCAATGTCAAAAATCCAGTTTCCTCCACTGTAGGCCCAATATGAAGGGACTCCGAGGAATGTACTAGGAGTCAGGAGGAAGCCAACCTGGTTTTCATATTGTGAGGGTAAAATCAAAAAAATGAATAATAAAGACCAACTGCTCATTGGTGGACTGAACAGAAATATGGGTTCTGCCCGACAGAGGTGTGTATACACACACACACACTTTAATATATAGGTTTTGGAAACACCGAACTCTGGGTGCAAATCCTTAACTCCTGTCCTTAGTAATCGAGTACTTAACCTGTTCGAAACTCAGTTTTCTCATCTTTAAATGGGGCAAATGCCACTAACCCTGAGGGTTTCATCGTGAGCATTTGATAATGTACTTTGGTGTACTTTATGCATCTACATCATAGTAAGCTCTTAACAGACAGTAGCTACTGGCACTCTCACTCTTGAGGTTTTTGTTTTTTAAAACATTTGGTATTCAATTTTAGAGAAAGAAACGTACTTTCACTGTAATTTAGTTTCTAACACTAAGGATCTATATTTCAGTTTCTAGTATTTTAGTCCAGATGTTAACAGTTTTTCACTGTTCTTTCCACGGAGATTGGTCATGACCACGTACCCCATCCTGATTTAGTATTTTGGAAAACGGTGCAAACATCCTCCCTTGAAAACCAACTACACAGAGACTACTGATTCAAACTCCTGCCACTCAAGAAAAGGAACACTGGCGATATTCCTTCGAGGAAATAAAAGCGTTTGATCAATTCACAGAGTCATTCCCATTCAAACATTCCAAACCCCGCAGAGTGAGCAAACGTTCAAGTTTCTACTACGAAAACAATCTGTAGCCTTCTGGTTACTGGATTCACTTCAACACTTCCCAGACGCACCAAAGAAGAAACATTCCGCACATCTTCCTGCCTCCTTCTTCTCACACAAAGCTTCGCGGCTCCCCTTCCAAAGCCACCCCTGGCTGGAGAAGCAGCCCCTCTCGGCGGGGTCGGGCCGGCGCCCACAGCCAGGGCGGCCCTGTGACCCGGGGGTCTCCACCACACGTCGCCCCCTCCCACCGCCCCGCAGCCTCAGAGTTCCTAACCCGCCCGGGAAGCCTCTGGCTACCCCAACCCCGCCCCGGGCCCCGGGAGCCTCGGGCACCCTCCCGCTCCGGGTGGGGTGCCCAGACAACGCCACACGGCGCCCCAGCTCCGCCAGGCCCGGCCAGCCGCACACCCCCTAGCCCTCGGTCCGCGCCCCCTCGCTCCCCAGAAAGCAGCCCGGTCCTCTCGGCTCGCTCCGCCCGACGCCACCTCCCCCGGGGGAACCCGGAGCAGGGGCCGCCGCCGGCTGCAGAGCACGTCCACCCGCTCTCGGACACACGCCCCTGCCCCGCCCCGCCCGCGCTCCGCGTCTGTGGTTAGCGTGGCGGCCGCCAGGCCAGGCCAGCCCGGCCCCGGCCCGGCGCCGCCACCTGCGCCCCCGGCCCCGCGCCATGTTTGAGAAAGAGAGGGAGCGAGCCAGAGGCCGGGCCCGGCCCGCGCGCGCCCCGCAGTCGCCCGCCAGCCCCGCAGCGCCGCCGCTCACCCGTCGTCCCCGGGACCAGCGTCGCCGCCGCCGCCAACACGAGGAGGAGCAGCCGGGGACGCGGAGCAGCGGCCGCCGCCTCCATGGTCCCGCCGCCACCGCCTGTGGCCCGGTCCGGCCCGGCCGCCGCCTCGCCTCAGCAAGCCTCGCCTCGCCCCACCTCCTGCCGCCGCGGCGGCCTCGCTCCGGCCCTTTGTAACTGCTCGGGGGCTGCGCGTCCATTGGCTGCCGGGCTCCCGCCGGCCCCGCCTCCCGGCTGTCGGCGAGCGGCCGAGCGGGACCCAGCCCGGAGCCCCGCCTACAGGCCCGCTGGACAGCCAATCCGCAGCCGCGGGCGCCGGCCTCTGTACACGCCCCCAGACTCCCCGGGGGCCGTGCTGCCAGACCCCTGCCCCAGCCAGAGGCGCTCCGCGCTAGGAGGAGGCCGGGTAGGGCTAGGGTCTAGCGTGCCTCGACCCTGCCTAGCCTTCGGCCCCGGGGGACTAGGGTTACGCGAGGGGTGTGTCTCGGTGTGAGTCGCTTTCGGAAAAAGGCTGTGGCCGCTCTACGCTCTTTTCTTTAGCCTTCTCCAAGCACCTAAGATCTAGTACTGACCCCAATCCCAACCCGACCCCCATTCACAGCCCTGAACCACCAATCCCCAACACGTTCACCCAGATCCGCGGCATCGTCACTCAGGCTTCAACTTCCACTTCCCAGATCCACGCCTCAACTTTCAACATCTCCCCCAAATCTTTCCTCAGTGCCTTCCATATACGACTCACGTCTTCTTTTTCTTCCCGTTGTCAGTGTCTAACCCCAACCAAATTCCAGGCCCTGAAAGTCCTGAAATCCTGGCCTCGGACTTCATTCAGATCCTGAGCTCCGGCACGCCCCCCGAATAGCCTCTCTCCCTCCGGAACAAGGAGCAGACCCAGAAAGGGGCTCCACACTCTTTCCTTCTGACCTCTTCCTGATCCAGGTGGGAAAGGGAAGGTCCCCACCCCCAACCCCCAAAGGAGTAGGACTCCCCTTCTTAGCTCGCAGCACTTCTCCTTTGGTGGAGGGGGAACAGTCAATACTTTGACTTGCCTCTGACACGCCTGCACAATAATTCTGAGGTGTCACTAGAAACCCAAATAAACTCGGCTACGTTTTCATTCTGAATTCCTAATTTACTGTGAGACGCTCCACCCACCTTCCCTCTGGGACACCAAAATGAGCTCCAGATTTGTAATTCTTCCTGTCAGACTAGTCCTCTCCTCAGACACAAACACAGCCGAGGAGGCTGTTACATAGAACAGAGAACATTTTTCCGCAGAACCTTTTAAGGAGAAAATTTTATTTTCTGTGTGATTTGAGCTTGGAATTAAATAAACCTTGGTAGCAGGAATCAGAATCACCCTCTGGCATCAATTTGTAGATCACTTTAGCGCTGCTCCTCCATGAGCTTTTGACCTACCTGTGAGGACTTCCCTCCCGAGCTGTAAAAGGGCAGGGTGGGGGTGTTGGAGCTGGGATCTGAGACCTGCCCTACTCCCCTCCTCTGTAGGACCCTTATTTGAGCAAGTCCGTTAAGCTTTCTGAGTCTCCATCTCTTCATCTGTAAAATGGAAATAATATCTCCCTTGGTCAGTGAGAGGATATAAGATTTGGGGGTTCCCCTCCTGCTCTTTCAAGTTCTATTTCTAGGCCCTCCCTCCAGACACTTCATCTGCTCCTCCCTGGACAGGTAAGGGGGCGTGGGTGTACACTGACCTGCCCACCTAGGGATGCAGCTACTACCAAAAACATGGCATAGCCTGCTCTCTGGCACTCTCCTGGCTGCTGGAGACCATCAGCAACAAGCTCTCCTCTTGCTCCCTGCTGCAGGGCCCACAAGGCAGGCAAAGACTGCTTCTGGCTGGCTCCAGTCCTGATCTGCTCCCTCGGTTCCAGTTTTTTCAGTGGAGATGTGGATGGTAAGTCAGGGTCCTAATGATACCTGAGGTCTGTAGACTGTTCTTTCACTGCTCTATTCTCAGTGTCTTCCATGAGAGCTCAGGAGATATTGAATGAATGAGTGAATGAATGATTCACCTCAGACAAGTGAAGTGTCTTTCTCTCATCAGATTCTCTCATTAGATTCTTCATCTCTAAAATGAAATATTTATTTTAAAGATTTTATTTATTTATTTGACAGAGAGAGAGAGACACGGTGAGAGAGGGAACACAAGCAGGGGGAGAGGGAGAAGGAGGCTTCCCGCAGAGCAGGGAGCCCGATGCGGGGCTCGATCCCAGGACCGTGAGACCATGACCCGGGTGGGAGGCAGATGCTTAACGACTGAGCCACCCAGGCACCCCTTTAAAGTGAAATATTATTCCTACCCCATTTATAAATAAAAGGGACTGAATGACATGTCTTAGGCCCCTTAGATGATGTAATGTGTCTGGAGCAGCGTCTAGAACATAGTAAATACATTTTTTTAGAACATAGTAAATATTTAGTTAATGCCATTCCCTTTGCCCAGCCCCTTCAGGTTCTGTTTGATTCTAATCAGCATTCATGTTCTGCTAACTTGTGCCTTTGACTTACAGAGCCTCAGTTAATCAGTGTTAGATTATCTTCTATGACACACTTCCAGTTCTTTAACATTTTCCATGGAATTGAGTGTCTTCATTAGAACACTGAGGAACAGGAAGGAGGAACAGACTATTTTTAAATTTTATTTTCCTGATATTGGGAAGAAATTTCCATGAGCCATGGATCCACAAATAAACTACGTTGGAATGGAACAATAAATTATAAGTTTAAAATCATGGTTCTCAAACTTTAAAATGTCTCCAAATTCACTGGAGAACTTTTAAAAAATGCAGCTTCCTGGGTGTCAGCCCTAGAGAGTCTGCATCAGTTCATCTGAAGGAGGTCCAGGACTCTGCATGTGTAACAGAGACCCCACGTGATTCTGCTGCGGGTGTCACTGGGCCACACTTTAAAAGACACTGGTTTAGAAAGTGTTACCTTGAAATTCAATAAATAAAAATGCATGTACTTATTTCCCCTTTTGAGAAAGGGAGGGCAATGGAAAGAAACCTCTGGCTTTGGAGGCCTAGCTGGGGATGCTGGCTCTACCATTTACTACATGCAGGATCTGTGCACACTACTTGATTTTTCTGAGATTTCATATCCCCCAGTGTGAAATGGGATAATGACACTGACTCATATATTTGTTGTAAGGTCTAAATGAGCTATTGCACATAAAGAATCTATCGTAAATGTGAATTCCCTTCACAGTCTCTATAGGCTCTGAAAAAGGCTTGTTTACTCTGTCTTGATTTAATAGGGAAGAAACTGAGGACCAGCCCCCAGCAAGTCAGCTTCAGAGCCAGGACTAAGAGACTCACTCCTGTGCCTTGTCCTCTGCACAATGCTACCTCTTAGTCTTCATGCCAGGTACATTGTTTGCTTTTCCTTTTGGATTATTCCCTCAGGTAAAGTTTTCTCCCAAACAGAGACCAGAGATGGTTAGTTGCCTAAACTATATTCATTCCTACATTCACTTTATGAACAGAATCCTCATTTCCTTTGGGAAAGCAGTTCACCTAGGTAAAAATCTCAATTTCTCCGGCACCTGGCACCTAGATATGACCATGTGACAGAGTTCTGGCCAGTGAAATATAAGAAGCCTACCAGGTAGAGCCTGTTGGGAAGATATTGTTTTCTCTAAAAGGACTTGTCACGTTCTCACCTTCTTTCCATCTGGAACAAAGCTGCAACGCCTGGAAGTACAGCAGCCATTTTGTGAGCATAAGGATGGTGGCCATAACTAGGAATAGTAGAGAAAAACTAGGAATGGATAGAGTAGATAACTAGGAATGGAGAGAGTCTGGGTCCTTGATAAATTCCTTGAGCAACTGTACCAGCTCTAAATGCTTATCAATGACGTTCATATCATATGAGAAAAATAAACATGTCCTCTTTTTTAACCTGAAAACACTTCAATTCTGGTCAATGCTATCTATTGTATATTTTGTTTCTAATTTTTTAACCTACAAGCTAGTATTGATTTATACCATTATTATCTATTGCTAACTCCTGGGCTCCTAACCAAATAACAAATCACCTCAAAACTTAGTGGCTTAGAATAATAACCATATTATTTCTCAATGAGGCTGTGGGTAGGCTGGGCTGTTTTTCTTGGTCTAGGCCAATATAAGCTGATCTCAGCTGACCTCACATATGAGTCTGCTATCGGGTGGCAGGTCAACTGGGAGCTGAACAGATCTATAATGGTCTAGTTCAGCTCCTTTATGTGGTTTTTCACTCTCTAGCAGGCTAGCCTAGGTTTGTTAACATGACAGTTCGGGGATCCAGGAGTTTACAACTGGCCCATCATTTCTGCCACCTCTCATTGGTTTGGGCCTGAATTAGGCCAAGCCCAAATTCAAAGGGTAGGGAAATTCTACCTCTTGATAAAAGGAACTGCAAGATCACATTGCAAAGGGGTGTAGATACCAAGAGAGACATAAGTGTGGTGATTTTTTGTAAACACTTTTTACCACTTTTTCGAACCTCAATTTTTTTTTAAGATTTTATTTATTTATTTGAGAGAGAGAGAGAGTGAGAGAGAGAGCCCAAGAGGGGGTAGAGTCAGAGGGAGAAGCAGACTCCCCGCTGAGCAGGGAGCCCGATGTGGGACTCGATCCCAGGACTCCAGGATCATGACCTGAGCCGAAGGCAGTCGCTTAACCAACTGAGCCACCCAGGCACCTCCTGATCTTCATTTTTTGTTATCCCTAGACTTTTCATCTCAAATCACTTTAATTCCACCTGAAGTATATAATCTTTCGAATTCCCTTTAGAGAGAGATGACTTGGTAGCAAACAATTTTAGTCTTTGTTTGACTGAGATGACTGTATTTGATCCTTATTTTTGGACAGTGTTTTCACTGGCTACAGAATTCTGGATTCGCAATTGCTTTCTCTCAACTCATTCCACTGTCTCTGGCTTCCATTGTTGCTTATGGGAAATCAAGTATTAGTCCATTTCTCCTTTGTAGGTAATTGGTCTTTTCTGTCTACTTTTTTTAAATAGACTTTATTTTTTATAAATAAAAATATAAGTGTTATAAATAAATAAAATATGTATTTTTTAGGTTCACAGCAAAATTGAGCATAAATTACATAGAGTTCCCATA